TTTCAGTGATATTTTTTCTCTGATAGTTCACGTTACGAATAATTGTTAGGAAAATTATTTTTTCGATTGCAGTATATGTTCTCGCTTGAAAGTTTAAGGCACATATAATTAGGCAAAAAGTGAGGAAAAGCTTGTTGAAAATTACAGTACAAGATATATAAGTAGCAGAGTACATAAAGATCCATAAAAATTCTAAATAATATAATTTCAACTACATGATGTATCATATACAAATTTAGTGTATATATTCTGTGAAATTTATAAAACATCCGTATTCAAGGTATCGTAAATAAATTAAAACTTGGTATAAATCAATAAAAAATTTTGTCCAGTAGAGTAGAATGGCATGATTAGAAGATGAACTTAATATTAACAATTACAAATAAATAAAAAGATTTTGTTTTAATTAACTCTATTTGTTCCGAACAACTTTTCAAGGCCATGGTACTCCATCACTGTTTGCAAATCAGGTACAATAAACACGAACAACATCGGTTTATCAATAAATAAAAACAATGTTGAGTCCAGTCTAAAATTTGATTTTGTACTATTTATTAATGACTGGTACAACAATATAATGGTCACTACTAAAAACATTACTTTTCCGATGATTTAACCGCTCATTATTTTTAATTATTTTTTTTGGTTAATGAAACAAATTTTTTTTCCGGGAATCTCTGAATCTTTTACGGAGTGAATGCGAGCCACACGCACTCTAATTTTAAAAAGATCGATACCAATGCACTGTTGTATTTTTCACGTTCAAAAAGCTGTTCAATTCCATTGTGCGAAGGTATCCATTCTCTCGCGTGATTACCTACTCAAATTTCATTAATATTATACTAGTATCAGACTGACGGTATCCGCTATACCTGTCGATTGAACTGACTAGTTTGGAAACATTCCACATTTGGCTGTAGTATAGATACACATGTATCGTGTTATGCAAATATTTTAGTTTTAACGATACTACACATCACGTATACTTGTGCGAAAATCATAACTTTTCGCCCAAGTTCTCGACGCTCTTGGGAGCTAGTGCGCTGCAAACTTGAGATAAACTTTTACTCAAGTCATGGTATACTTTTCGAATTGCAATAAGATATAATCAAACCTATGCGAGGTTCATTACATCTTCGCAAATTAATTTTTAATGATGAAATGTTCATAGTCAGGATAATTGAAATCAAGCAATGGACGAGAGTTAAATAAAGTTACGACTGCATTAGGTGATATTAAAAATTGGGTTCTATTTATAAGATTGGTTTTCAAAATATTCCTGTGTAAAGGTAAGAAAATAACAAATCACTTGACAACAAAATAAATTTTTACCGTGAGTTGAAAAAAGTTGGCTAAAAAGTCAATCATTTAAAAAGGGGAAAAAAAGGTCAGCAGAGAGGGAAGAAAGATCTACAAGCAGACACATGCATGCTAGTCGTGATCAACGAAAAAAAGCTTTCACATCATCTCTTAGAAAAATCGCTATCAGGACGTGTTTGCATGCATCGACCACTGGATGCATTCATGTGTTTGTATACACACGTGGGTATAGTATACCATACATACCTGTATATGAAAGATGGACACGTATTTAGTATTAAAATGTTTAAATACCTTTAATATTAATTTTGTATACTTCTGAATGTTCGTGAAAGTGCATTGATTAGTATTTACCCATACAGTATTTTAAACAAGTATACTTGTTATTTGTAGCTGAACGTATGAATATCTCGCTCATCCCTGCCTCGATGTCTAAGTACATGCGTTCTTTCAACCATGCAAGTCATACGAATGAACAGAAAAAAAAAAAAACAAAGGAAACAGAGAGCATTGGAATGAGGGTAGCGCTTCACAAATCACGGCAAGTTTGCGGCGAATGCAATACCCGAGTATTCCGCGTAGATGGCGTCCGAGAGACGCTCAAGCGCGACATGTCAATCTAACACTAAAATAAGTAAAGGAATGAAAGAACGAGTCGCCTATAGGAAAATATACTATGCTTATAAACGTGTGCACGCATGGAGATGAAATAAATAAAAATATGGTGACCAACGTTCCTACGTAATATTTACGAGGGCACTGATTATGCGAGCAAAGTACAATGGATCCGTATCATTAGTGCCTGTATTATGTATGAGTTTGTCTCTAGGAAATTTACCACAGCAAAGAGAAAAGGGAATCGCAAGTTGGGGCAGTATGATATGATAAAGAAACTTAATTTTTGTTTTTATTATTTTATTTTATTTTGTTTTTATGCTATTATTATTATTATTATTATTATTATTATTATTATTATTATTATTATTATCATTATTGTCATCATCATTATTATTATTATAATTATTATAGTAAATAATAATAATTATAATTATTATTGCTGCTGTTCTTGTTGTTCTTACTATTTTTATTATTACTATTGGAAGGTAGGGAAGTATAACGGTGAAATTGAAAACGTGTGCTCTCTATGAATTACGTAAATGGAGCGAATTCCCTTTGTGTGTTATTACACTGGCTCACGAATGCGAATGCCGTGGAAGTGCTACCGTCTTGAATAAAAAATTCAAATTGAAAATTACGTGGTGTTTCTACATTTTTCATAAAAAAAAGTGGTGCTTGAAATCAGCCAACTACTAAACAATTCTTACACAACTTGCCGTTTTATAAATAAAGAAATGAAATTCGTTGAAAATAAGATGTCAGAACGATGTAGGGTCCTGGCGTATATTGAACACTGGAATCATTTTTGTTGAGAAATTGATACGTAAGTACATCCATTGCGATGTCAGGTACAGCGTACCACAGTTCGATTACAACATAAACTTAAAAATGGTTCGTATCAGATTTTTTTTGTCATATCAGTTTATTGATTTTTTTTGCAGTTTGTATAGTAGAAATACAACATTTCATTAACACTATTGTATCCAAAAGTAATGATTTGGACCTTTGAATATGTTTTGAGAAACAGCTTTATTTTTCGTCACTACTAGCGCTAATGTTATTCTTTTCACGCTATAGGATGTTATTTTACCTTAAAATATATAAAATTTAAACATTATTTTGTGCCTTAGGCGTTTGTAACAACACATTTTATGATTTTACGTTAGAACTTATTCATACTGTAAACTGTGTTTTTCTTATTACTTTTTGTGAGATAAGAATTGCAAAAACTTTTGTGCTGTACATAAAATGGAAAAGTAGTGATCTCTTGAACGATTAAGCTGGACAATGCCGGACAATTTCATATTATAGACCTTTAAAATCGTACTTTAATATCATCGCGGTTTTAATGTGTACCGTAAAAAATTTAATTCAATTGCCAAAGTCAAGCTCAAACATTTCGAGATTTTTTGGAGCTCAAACACTTATTAAGAAATTGTAAAAAAATTCCAAGCATTAAATTTGAGAGATCCAATAAATCGCCTTGCATTGAAATGACTCGCATCCAGATGATTTCTTCGCCAAAGTTAACTTTTCATTCCTACCTATACTCTTAACTTTTCAGTGCACTTGGCCACCAAACTTTAATCCATACCTCATCGAGATCGCGTTATGGCACGTGCCTCACTTCCCCCAAGTACACACTTTCTCGCAAAAACTTTCTCACCTTGATCCTGCCCTGTCTTTGATCTCCTTCCCATAGGAGTGCAGCCCATCTTTGTTACCATGCACTTGTTCTTCCACCATAATGATTCCTCATCCCAACTCCTGATCCTTCATCGCAACCTTTTTGCTTTCAATACTCTTTGACTCAGCAAACATCACCACGTGATGTGTATATATATATGTTTCGTCTCAGTCAATCCGTTGTAGGCTATTCTCACCTGACCTACTTTCGTGAACTTCGATCCACGAGTTCCAAGCCTCTCTTCTTGACATGTCTATTTCATTTCCTACATCTCATGCATAATAGTAATGATGATAATAATAATAATAGTGCATCCTGCAGCCGTTACTATTGCACATACATTGTATTCGGTACGTTGATTCATTTTCTCGTTTATTTTATGAACGAGTCGATAAGTGAACCCACGAGCGAGTGACGTTAGTTACAGTTAATCAAGTCGATTAAGTGCTCAAATGACATTTTCAAGTCGAATTGCCCTCCGTACATGTACGTGTATGCAAGGGCGCTCGCAGTACACGTAAATATTCCAACTAAAATGCAGCGAGGCGCGTGCATCACGTTGGGAGCCCGGTGCGGCGTGTGATTACTTTTGCACGTGGAGCGCGTTATTGCTGCCTCAAATTAGGAATATCGAAGTGCGCGATTGCGAAACGCTGATATTATTCGCTTTTATGATGGCACGCGATATTTTGCTGCGAAGACACGTGCTGATGTTGTTCCTAAGTGTATTGACTTGAGATTGAAAATAAAGTTGCTTCTATAACAAGAAATTCTTTTTTATTTTATTTTTTTTTATTTGCTGTGATTTGACTCTCCATGTGCTTCACTTACTCATTCGAAGATCATTGCTTGTTGATTGCCCATTCAAGTTTCCTTAATTTTTTATAGTTTGTATGGAAAAAAATGCTCTCAAATAATTTTTTGGTTAAAAATTTTGCAAAAAAACGCGTTTGTGCAAAATGAACTTTGCAATATCGCGTTCACAAATTGAGATTGTTCAAAAATTAGCAACGGATCTTTAATGATTGAAATTTTTAGTCAAAGATCCAACCTTTTTCTGAATAAATACAATTGTTTTTTGATGATAAAATGTATGGAAAACTAGATTATCCGGATGTTGTCTCTGATTTTGCATGAATACTTAAAATAAATCAGGATGATAAACGAGAAAATCTCCAAGATTCAAGACATCCTGTTAACTTATCTTACCATAAGTAAGCCAATCATATGTAGAAAAACAAGACCACGTGATTCGTTTGTCCAACAGCTTTATTGGATATTCAAAGTTAGAAAATCAATTTAAAATTATTGTCTGCTTTCTGAAGCATTGTGATAGTATATAATATGATAAACAGGTTGCCGGTAACTTTTGCAGATTTCGTGGAAAAGCGATGCGGCGAGAACGGAAGCTGGGAGGGCAAGGTCGGCGAACTCAGTCCGCCCAGTGGCTGGACGAACTACACCCCCTGCTTCACCCCAGAGATGATGCTGCTTCTGCAAAAACTCTACACTGGCAGCGAGGATCTCGCCAACGTAAGTTTCACTACCTCTCCCATTTTTGACGAGTGTGCACGCGTTGCTTGTTATTGTTCGTGTGGGGTGAATTTGCATGATGTAACTTTTAAAAGTGGCTGCGGTGAAGTCTGCAAGAAAAAGTTACTTGCAGGTATACTTTTTTGAATTGGAAATCGAGCACCTGCGAGGAATCTGCGGTCAGGTCTGGTTGGAAGTATGAGGAAACACGAGCTGCACTGTATTCATTTCGTATACATACGGAAATAGAAATTTCAAATGGTTCGGGTGCCTTCACTCTGGCGTTCCAGACACATACAAAGGCGACCACGTGCGTGGAAAAGTAATTTCATCGTTGAAAATTCACGGAATTTTTAATATTCATAGCAGAGCACCTGTGACGAGGATTTTTCTAGCCGATAAACAGCCGTCCCGGATCCCCTCACAAAACTCTCACTAAATTTCTTACCATGTCCCTACACTCTGGATATCTCTCCTCCGGGATTTAGCTTTAGCTACCACGTCACAACATTCAATCTCTTTCATGGTCTTCGGTCCTTCTCTCTCCTCTGGCTCGTGGCCCGTGGCACGAGAACACACATTAAGTAATGTGTTATAGATGTACATATAGAAAATATATATGTTATTCTAAAACTCGGTAGCCGCCGATGACTTGCCCCGAAATATAGGTATACAGTGACGTGATAGCTTTAGCTACCACGTCGCACACCAATAATGAATGGGTCGGTTGCTCATGCCGATCACGATTTTTCCACCATTTCATTGGACATTCAGTTTACTCGTTCACAACCTGTAGAACTGGTGCTGAATATCATTTTGTCAGATAAATAACACACTTATACGGGCTAATTTATGCCACTTGACGTAAGGTCCATCCACGCGTTGCTGATAGTAGAAACGTGAACTTGCGTAACAACACGTGTCGTGGCACGAGGTTTGAGTATCCATCTTATAATATACCTACATATATGCGAACCAAGTATGCAGGAGTAAGACCCGTATAATACGAAGATAAACGTAACACAAAAAAATATTTTTGTGGTTCGAGCTTGAAATTTTTCTTAAAACTATATTCGCTGTTAGTAAATTTTCATTGTACATACCTATCGACTTGCTCAATTTTTGACCGATTGAACGTTGTGGCTTTGGAAACTTTACGGAGAACTTGAGCTTTTCAATCGAGCCAACGATTCGACAACCAGAAAAAAATCGGAACGGAGCACCCACAAAATTTATTGCAGGTATACACTCGTAAACGTTGAGGCTACCCCGTCATTCGAGCACGCGTTTCAGGTAGCTTGTAAATCAAAACGAGGACGCGATCAATTGGTCCGATGGAAAGCCAAGTGGATCGAAACAATCAATAAAAACTACCACTTGTGCACCCATCGTCACACACCCTTTTAACTTTTTGCTAAGCTATATCCAATGCTTTGACAAAATAGTGGTGTTTATGTTTTTTTTTACGTGCTAGGTTTTACCCTGAAACAGATAAACGGGCAGTCGTTCGATTGAAATATTTATCGGGGCGCGACGTTGTTTTAAGCTGAATTGAATTGAACGTAAACATACGTGCATTTTCACGGAAGAGTAAGAGGAATATTTGTGCAAGTACATTTTGACGATGCTTGGGAGGCGTGCTGTTTGGAGCGATAAACAGTATTTGGACACTCGTATTGAATTTTCGATGTTGGTGCTCGTCGAGAGCAGATTTTCCAATTACACGATTCGTTTTGTTTTCAGTGCTGAGGCAATGATTCATATTTTTTGAATTTTATGGTTCTGCTTATAGACCGTGTTGCGCCTTTTAAACATAGACTTTTTGGCTTGTTGTTATTGTACTTGAAAATTTCAGTATAAATAGCAAAGTAAGGACTTTCAGTAATTAATTTGTTGTACCACTTCGAATGTTATTGTCTCGAATTCAAACATTTATATTATTGTTAATAATTACTTGTATAATGTAAAAAAATGTTACGATAAAGTAATGTTTTTCGTTACTTTTCTTGTTTAGGCACGAATCGATATTGCGGCAAAAACGAGATACTTGGAATTTGTGGGGCTTACGTTGTCTCTAACAGCTTTACTCGTTTCCTTATCGATTTTCTGCCGATTTAGGTATGATCATACTATTTCATTTAACTACTATATCTATACTATATCAATACTGAATGTAAATTATTTAACTACTTTCATAAAGTTGCAACAAGAATAATCGAATCATCACAATTAATTTTGACTGTAACATAGCGACAGCAAAACAAAATGCAAATTTTTTGATTCAGAAAAGAAATAATATTGTACGTGGCCAAAAACAAGGCTTACCATACCAAATATCTTTTAAGTCATTGCTATTAATTAGTTAAGTTCTTATGAATTGATTACTATTAATTGATTAGTTAGAGAAATTAGTTTTATTTGTTTAATTTTTATAAGAACCTGTGACTAATTGCAACTGTATGAAAAAATGTTATTGTTTTTAAAGCTGAAAAAATGTGCAAGTCCTATTCTTAAAACTATAATCATTAGTAAAAACTACTATAAATGTTAAAAATCCATAAATAATCATAAAAAAATGTGTTTTCAGAACTCTTAGAAACACACGAACTCGAATACACAAAAACCTCTTCGTAGCAATGATGGTCCAAGTTGTGATAAAATTGACATTGTACATAGATCAAGCACTCTCCAACATGAATGCCTACGACCAACAGTATAGTATACAGAATACGGTAAGTAAATAAAACTAAATTTATAATGATTAAACAATTTAAGTGTCATACGTTAAGAAGAGAAACATTTTTTGAATCTTCAAGTAGCAGTGCTCAATATCATGTCAGACACATAGAAATTCCCTTATACATACAGATGAAAACAGCAATCTCAGCTTAATTTCAACTGTAACCCTCACTTTTAATGTCAATTCACACTCGAAGAAAGTATTTACTACCAATAAACGAATTCTTAAACATATTTAATTTGTCTTAGAGATCATCGTCGAATAATTGGATACAAGTTTTTTCTTTTTTGGATAAAAAAAAAGACAGTGCATTAAGTTACACAAGAAGTTACGTGTACCAAATTCTTGATACTTGACATAACAAACATAACAAATAATATATTTTTCCGTACGACAGAATTGAAAAAAAAATATCAAGTTTAAAATATTTAAAGTATACTTATTTATTGTCTCATAAGTTCGGATGATGCTTTAAATTCAGACGATTTTATTTTTTCACTATTCATTACACATTTAACTTATAGTTTAAGTTTTCAACTTCGCTTTTTATAAGAATCAAGTGACAACAATTTTAATAACAATAACATTAATAACAATAACATTAACAATAATGTAAAAAAAATTTCCAGCCCATATTATGCGAGGGCTTCTACGTACTTCTTGAATATGCCAGAACAGCGATGTTTACGTGGATGTTCATTGAAGGCTTTTTCCTTCACAATAAGGTTACTGGTAAGATGAGCGTGATATACTATACAATAGCATCAATAGACATCCTGTTACGCTATCTAATATTGCAAACATACGCATACTTTTCTTTGTTAGTTAACACGGATTTGTAATGTTTCACATTATTAGTTGTTGTAATCATACAATTTATTTATTATAATTAAATTTGCACTATATATCATCAATGATATCTTATATCGATATTTTTCAACGATTAATTGGAGTTTGAATTTTTATAGACCAATAAAGCCTATTTTCTATAGCTATTTATTTAATAATTTATTCGTCAATAAAATAATTGATTTAGTGTATTGAAATGTCGTTGGAATAAAAATTCTTCCTATATTAATCAAGTTAATTTATGTAGCTGGCTAGCTCCAGATTCCAATTTGAATTTTTGTAGTACACGGATAGTAACTCATGTTTAAAAAAATTCACAACTATCATACTGATGAAAAGCTATTTTCTTTATAACACGGCTTCCCTCGTAGTAGCGGTCTTCACAGAAACGTCTGGTTATCAGATGTACCGAGTCATCGGTTGGGGCTATCCTATCTTCATGACTGCGGGCTGGACTGTAGTCACCGCAATTTATTACCATCCATCGAAGTAAGTTCGTGGATGTTTTTCTTTTTTTTTTTTTTTTTCCAAGTGATTTCAATTGTTGACCATTCTATTAATTTATATTTTATATATTCTCAGATGCTGGTGGGGTTACAACTTAACTTTCTATTTTTGGATCCTTGAGGGGACCAGGCTGGCAATGATATTGGTAAAGAATAGTTTAAGATAGCCAAAGTATTATTGGATAGCAAAAGTTTTTTTTTTCTCTTTTTCACAACATTTTTTGATGAATTGTGATGCCACCTATGATATTCTGATTTAGTATCTAAGTTGATGCCAGTTATATACAGACGTCTAGGATAGCTCAGATATTATGTCAACCAAATAATTTACGTCAAAATTGTTGCTTGCTTGTTTTCAGTTCAACTGTGGCTTTCTTCTTAACATTCTTCGGGTACTCATAATAAAACTTCGTCGTAGTCATATGACGGAAACGGAGCAAATCATGTAAGTTATTTTTTTTCTACAATAAAATTTCGCTTTGAATTTTTGTGAGAAACCAATCAATGTTTCTGAGATATTAATATTACTGTACAACTCGACCTACCTTTTTATAATATAGTACATTGACCAAAGTATGAGAAAAATAAAATGAAAAGCTATTTTATGGAACCAAAAAAAAATCTGCACGATTTTTAAATTACATTTGAAACAACATGTTATAGAACATAAGTAGTTTTTAATCTTTTTCTAAAAAGGCCTATTTAAAAATTATGGTATAAAAAATAAATAATACCCTATGTAAAGGAGTTTTAGTTCCATCTTCCTGCGCTTCTAGTGCTCCAATGGATTTAAATCACAAGCTCAGAACCGACAACAGTCACTGTACACGTTAAGTCTCTTGAACATTGTTTGCTCACCCTCTTCTCCCCGCAAAAGTCACCACCAGAACAGTATTACCACTAAAATCAGTACAACCGGTCCCTTCCCTGCGTAGCAGCAGGATTGGCTAAAACTTTTTCCATTCCCGAACGTACATGCTTTCAACCTACGGACAAACTCTTTTCCTGATAATTAGCACCCACCAGATCACCTCCCATCTACCCTACCCTAGTTCAACCATCACATTACTCATTACTTCTAATCCGTAAAGTTTTGTTCGTCCCAGCAGTTATGACGCACATAATGCTACTTTTTTATCGAATTAACTATGTCGAAACTTGGTTGATTGTGTTTGTTTACTTTACCTCCATTTTATAGGAATTTTAGTTATTATACGATTACCCATTTATGTTCACAGAAAGGCAGTGAAAGCCGTGCTTGTACTACTGCCGCTCTTAGGAATAACAAATTTGGCAGCCATGTCTGAGGCACCTCTCGACAAGAGTATCCTGCAATTTGCCCTCTGGTCTTACATCACGCACTTTCTGACCTCCTTCCAGGGCCTCTTCATAGCGTTTCTCTATTGTTTCTCCAACAACGAGGTAATTCAGATTTTTTCCTTACATATAGCTCTACCATTTCATAACACTTTACGTATGGTACAAAAATCGTTTGATGCTGTAAATGACAATTTTTACCCTTGCAATCTTTTTGAATCGTTAATGCTGACATGCTGTACGTACATACATTATTTACATTGAAAATGAATAAAGTACAAAATAGACCGAAAATATCGACTAACCGCAATAGTCGCCTACAGCAGAAAAAAAATCTCACCACTGCGCACGTGCATTGTATTCCCCGAGGAGGTGGCCGCAATGTCATATATCAGCGTATCCGTACTACGAGGGCCGTTTCTTATGCATGAGCAGCCATCCAGCGAGCGAACAAACGTAGCGTCGAGCGAGCCATGAATCTCATTAAAATCGATGGCGCTTTTCCGCGCTCGTTTTCTCGCAGCGATGAAAATACTGCGTTCACTTTTCCTTTGCAGAAATCCGAACACATCAATCTACAAAAAATGGCGTCATTCTCTAGTGAAAGATAATATGCATAATAATATTGTATGCATGTACCTCCAGATAATTTTTCCATGGCTAACATCACTTGTTAATGTGCAGGTGGCCTATGCTGATTACGACGTTACCAACAACTTTTTTTTCGTAATTGGTGCTGCTAAAGAGTCTAATTCCATCTGACTTTATGGCCTTGACCAGGAGTTTGCTTCCAAAATCCATAAAAAAAAGATCCATACTCAAACTCTTCATAGCGCCCAAGTAATTTTTTATAGCTAATCCTTTAAACTCTTCACAAAAGCTTTCGCTTATGAGTTTGATCTTCAATTAAATTTATCTGTCTCTTCATGACTCAATTTGCTTTATAAAAGAGCTAACATCACGTATTAAAGGCATTACAACAAATTCTTCGGTTCTTAAAGTTTTTATATTAGTAAGGAGGCTGTTAAGTTTTTGTCCGAGATATTGGAAATAGGAGTTGTGGCTTCGGAAGGAAATTTGGTGTCTGTAGAAACAAGCTTCGATTAGTTGAGCGTGTACTATCTGTTCAATATATATCGTATGGGTTAACTGAAGCTTAAGGAGCTTCTTTTTACTTTTAACATCTTGCACAAAGATTTACGTACCAATAAAAATGTTAAATAGTCGTGAAAATGATGTCAATCCTACAATACTTGTCTACACATCATAGATTGTAATGAAAAAGGTACGTATCTGTCGGCTTATTTGATAAGAAAGAATTTTCAATTGCGTAAATTTCACAGAGTAAATTATAGTAAACATTCTTCCGTTATACCATTATTCGTTGAATATTACAGTAGCAAAGATCACAAAGAAAGTGGAAAAAGTAACGCTTCAATCACGCAGTTACGTTATATTTGTTTAATCCCAATACCATCGAAGATCAATGAATTTCGCACTCTGATTTCTCTCGAACTCGTTCGTGTACTATTCGGAGTTTCAATGAAAAATATTTGTATACGGTTTGCCCGATTGGCACGTGGCACCGATTGGTCAATGAATTCTTGTTTGCGATTGTGACGCAGAGACTGGGCGCGGCGCAATAAATCTTTTGTAATAAAGGATTAAAGTGGCATCGCATCCGCTGGACGGGGTTGCATGTACTTACGGACCAGCGGAAATTGTTATTAAATTATAATGCGCAGCGATGTACACAGCTGTTGTGGAGGCCGATACCCACTACGCGTTATTTATGCGATTATCGCTGCGTTGGCGTTATCGACCTGGTTGCAGGCTTGGCACTGTCAACTATACCGGCGGAAATTTTTCAATTTGGTAACCCAATTTTATACTACAATTAGTTTCCACTCAAATTGATTACTCTAATAGATGTATTTGGATATTTTTTTCATACCTTTGATTGTACAGGATGGATTGTACAGGAATTAGAACGCATTTAGGTATCGATTTATAAGTATAGGTGCGAGGCAAGCTTTAACAGTGTTGAGATCCTTACGGGGCTTTAAATTCTAGAAGAGCTATATTTTCACCATTTCAACCACATGTTTGGACCATAAATTTTAGGTATTTCATAATAAAATTTTCGTGTACTGGTAATTACAGTAACAACAATTACCGTTTTTAAATCTAATTTCTAATGTAATATAAAATATGTACGTATGGAACGTGAGAAAGAGGGTGGGTAATCCCAATGGATCCAAATTAAAAATCAAGAGTTGAGCAGCCCTCGTTAAAAGAAATCGATCAGGAATACTCAGGTATTGAGGTAGCCCGTAAAATTTTGCTACTCTCCCATTCATCGATCGAATTAAAAATTTTCCCCGAGAAAAGTCGAAAAGTCCCTTGGAATAACCATGAGAGAAATTATTTCTAAACCCATTGCTGAGAGCATCCTCTCAATGATAAATACTTTCAGGTCAGATCTGTCGTGAACAGAACAATATCCTTGTACTTCAACAAGCGACAGTCGTCCGGAAGTGGATGCCAACCTCACCGAATAGTCTCAAGTAAGTAATACCTCTTTGTTGTGCCAGTGTTTTTATTTATTATTTTTTTCAATTAATGTCCTGTAACTGAAATCTCGGCTTAAGTAGTACATATGGATGTAATACCCAGCTTTTACAAATATCATCTTGTCCGCGTGCATACACGAGACGGTAAACCAAAAATCTTCGGATTACCACACACAGACCTTTGTACGTACAACAATGTACACACACGAACTCGTGAGTGGAGAAAAGCCGCACATATCAGTCACGTGTAGAGAAGTCTCGGGAGATTTGAAAAGTAGGTATTATAGCTGCATCCGGAAAATAAGAGCCGTATACGTGGGGCACGAGTAAACTCATATTGCTGGATTACAGCTGCGCTCGTCCCCTCGTTGGCAGAACAGTCGACTCGAGCTAATTAAAATAGAGCAACCAACTCACCAATGTGTACAGCTAGGCCCGTGTATGATGGGCAAAGAACTACTGAAATGATTATTTCGGTTGGGTAACGTTTACGAAGACAAAGACGGAAGATTCGCGAATTTTGTAGACATTGTGTGCCCGAGAGTTATTCCTCGAGATGTTTGGGCTCCATCTTTCATATTTTATCCGAAAAACGGACGAATGTTTTCGTTATTGATCTTTGATTGTTTGCAGCTATCGACGTGGAAGCGACAGAAGAGAGTCCGACCGGCTGCATCAGACTGTGTTGCTGTAGAGGCAGTATATCGTCCCTCGAACGAGCCAACACGTGAGTTTTATCTTGGATTTTTATGTAACCGCTGCATGAAAGTTTTCGGGGCACGCGCTTGTCTAGAGTTTTCACAATAATAATCGCAATAAAATAGAATCAAATTCTCCACGTAACTTAGAGTACTGAAACTCAAGTGCAAATAGACACAAGTTTGTTCGACCAGAATGTCATTAACAACAGATGGTTAGACAAATTAAAATGAAATGCTTAGTCATTAGTCACACTCGCTGATAAAATGAAGTCATAAAGTACTGCTTTAATATCAACATGCCCAAAGCTGAAAAATGATTCATCATATTATGTTCATCATCTGATGTATGGAGAATTTTCAGATGAGTACCGTAAAACTCAATCTAATAGATATAATAGTGTCAGTAACAGATTAATTTGCAACTTCAAATCTGGTTTGAATCGATTGACAGGTGTTTGAATTAATGTGACCTTGCCTTCGTACTGGAGTAGCTCTGTGCTTTTAACTACGAGCCCATTGTGCGAATCTTTAGACTGAAAATCTAGGTTAATACTCCGACTAAGGTCAACGATCATCATTCCACGTGCCGAACTCGTTTTCATTATTCAAATTAGTCATTATACCCAAAAGCTTATCTTATTCACGAGATGCACATTTTAGAGAATTGATTTTTAATTAAATTTTAATTCCTTTTTAATTTGGTCCTTAGATCGATTTCATTGAACTTATCAATTATATCAATTCCTCTTTATCAATTAACTACTTTTAAGTAAACTTAAATGTACTTAAAAATATTCATCTAATATGTACGAGTTTTCGCAAAAAAAAGACCCATCTTATGATTTAAGTTGCAGAACGGATCTTTGACCGTGGTGGCACTGGCGGCTGAAGAGTGACATCAAACTTGGATCTTCGGGCTGAAACGAGTGGAAAAATTTAAGTTATATCAGTCGCATCCGTGCACTTGCGATTTGTAAACTGTGAAACGTTCCTCCATATGAGGGCTGCTTAAAGCAGTCCCGTGGCTAGTGCACAAGGACAAATGCCGTACTCCTAAAGAGAAGATGAGGGAGAAATGGAAGAAGATATATACCGAGCGATAGGTGATGCATGCAAAAAACCTGAATGTGCGTATACATAGACTGATGCGACGAATTTAGTGCGCTCGACTGATTGCCTCTTTGTTTGTTGTGTAGGTGTGTATATATAACGTTATGTGTACATATAGCATTTAAAGAGAATATGCAAAGAACGGTGTGAAAGTTTTTTTTTTTTTTTTTTTTTTTTTTTTTTAATATTGCCCTCTATTTTTTTTAATTTCATTTGCTCGCTGTTGTCCGCAGGAAGGAAAATTAGGTCACGTTTCTGCGATAACCATTTTCGGTTTTCATCTTCTACTTTTTATCCTTCGGGCTCATCAGGGATTCATGGCTTTTATTGTGAACAAAATCGAATTTTCGAGCATTTCTGACGACTGTTTTCCCGTGATATTTTTTCGCGAATTCTGAACTGGATAAGACTATTAATTTTTTTTTTTTTATATTAATTAAACCTCGTTTTCAAGGAAACATCAATCGCAGACCAAATTTTATACAATATTTTTTAGATTAGATTATTTGAGCTGTGAACTGTTTGAAAATCTAATGAAAATTTATGAAAAAAGTGTAAAGTTTTGTAAAGAATGGTGGCCGTATTTTTCCCATTTATTCCATGAATATTTTGGTCACCCACTTTCATGCACCAAATAACTCAAATTTCACGTCACCATGCAATCACTGGGTTAACGTAAACCATAGCCGATGAAACAAAATATTTCAAATCTCGTCCAGAGATTTATCTAAACTTTAGCTAAATATCATGAATTAATTAATCTTCATCGACCGGGTTAGCAGAACCTTCAGAGTTGATCTATTTTACTAGACTTTGGGGAAACTTTGGTATGTTTACGGGAGGGTGATGAGATGGATATGCATACGCATCCACATGAATACGTCATCGCATGAACTACTGCTCTAGTTCTGCTATTTCAAAGAACAAGTCCACAATTTATAACCATTTTATCTTTTGTCAACGTATTTGTTCGTTTTCACTGTACTATTGATAGTGCGTTCCTCGATAAGTAAACATATTTTGATTTTTCAAAACACATGAAGTTTAAAAACTTTTTATTTGCAACTTTTATTTTTACTTAATAAAACTGATAACTTACAGTTACGGGGTTATCATTAAAATACATCCAGACTGTGAAAGCTTCATTTAAAATATACACAAAAGATATAATTTATCTTAAACTCTCTCCTTGTGGCATCCTCGATGCTAAGTCAACCTATCTTTTTAAGAATCTTCAATTGCGGCTAAATATAGCGGACCGCAAGTTTGCGAAGGTGAAGTAAGTACTTGACATGGAAGTGCTGCCTAGACCCGTACACGTGTGAATTTTCATGTGCACCGTACTGCTATGCTTTTTTCCATCAACTCTAGCTGGAGCTTTCCAGTCGATTTTATTGTTTATTCATATCTTGAAGTTAAAAATAAAAGTTTAGTTGAGTTATAAGGTCCCTCGTGCCCCATTGTTCCTTGAAATCCATCAATCATAATCATTAAGTTTGTTTTACAGTACCTGAGTATCACACTTTTCTGAACTGTTTGTTTATAAAATAATAAATATTACGATTATAGAATTATATATTATTTAATTATTA